TTATTTTCACTTATTTATATTTTTTATCCCTTTTTTCTTACCCACTTTCATTTAGGTCATTGAAATTAATTAAAAACCCAAAATTTTAAAAATTCTTTTCATTTATATCCAAACTCCAAATTTTATTTTTTCTTATATGGATATTACAATTTGGGCGAAATTAATGATTTTCTTTGACTCTTTTAATTTTTCAAACAGTTCACATGTGTAAAATTCTTGTTGTATCCATCTTTGTACAAAGTCTTAAAATGTATGTTTTAGATTCTTATCTTGAAATCTTGTGATTGGACCAATTGGCATTGTAATCTTTTCCTCACACTTCTCTTTAATGTCTTTTGAACCCATGTCCGCATCAAAGTATATAAATTTAATCCATACCTCTTTTCCTGTTTTTGGATTATAATTTAATCCATACTTGTCCACTAACCTGTTAATGATGCATTTTTACCCGATGAGATTTAGTAACTACTCTACATTCATCTCTAGATATGCAAAAGCTAAAACAGGCAATGCGATCTTCTAATATGCTTTGTTTGTGTTGTTAAAAGTTTTAAAAAGGATTCAACATGATTCAAGTTTAGTCACTAATATGTTAATTGATTGATTAATTAACACTAGAAGAGTGTTGTAAGCTTAGATCTTAACATTTCATTTATTAATTCGTAGGTGTATTAGTACCTATTATACTTAATTCAGAGAAACTAAACATTAACTTGTTAAACATACTGAAAGGACTATTATAATTAAGTTGGGTTTTAATCCCAGTAACTTCTGTAATTCCAGTAATAAAAAGTGACAGAATTTTATGCTTGTACACAAGAAATCTCTCAAGATCAATGTGTTTCACGTGCTCAAGTAATCCTTTTCCAATAATATAGAGATTTTCGCTGATCTCCACAACATGCTGGAATGGTACTCTAATGCTTGAATTATGCTTAAATTACTAACTAATTGTGTTAAACTCCTTGCTGCTTCAAGTGCCTGATACAGAACTTTTCAAAAATTGCCTTTGAAAAACTGTTCCAAAGAATAACCATATCCAAAAGTGCATAAGCATCAGCAGATTTGCCATGCACCTGTTCAAAGGAGCATTTATATTGTCATCAGGAGAAGTTCAATTTGGATGGAACTAGAGTGACTTCAAAGTATATCGAACTATTTTAAGAATCTAACAAATTACAGTAATTTAAATCAAATTGCAACTACATACTTGGCTGTGAGCAGGGCTAGTCTTGTTGCAGAGCAGTTTTTGATGAAGTCCAAAACTATTGACGCTAACTCAGTTTGATGGCGAAGTGTAGGAATGGTTAGCTCCTTCCACTATCTGTAATTTGTGGGTTAGGTATGATTTTTCGCAAACTCTAGTGCATCTTCAACAGGGAATGACCTCATCCGCAGATCCCGTGGACAGGTCAAGACCCTGAATTGTAATCAGAAAACAGTCCAACCCAATGGCTGATTTCAATC